GGAGGAGGGAGGAGGAGGGAGGAGGGAGGAGGGAGGGGGGAGGAGGGAGGACACGATCCCTCGAGGGACTTCGCAATGTCCGACTACAGTGGGCACAGCTCTCGCTGGGAGCGCCGGTGGCGCCGCTGGCAGCAGTGGCAGGAAAGGTACTAGCGCATGCATGCAGATTCCTAAAATCCTAAAATTTTAGGATTTTTGGAATTTTAGAAATTTCGCTTAAAAGCCAAAATTCCTAAAATCCTGCTAGAAACTAATGGTCTGGGATCCCGAAATTTCTGAAATTCCAAAAATCCTTGAAATTTCTCAAAATTTAAAGAATTTTTAAAATTTTAGGAATTTTAGGAAATTTCGCGTAAAGGCCGGAATTGGGCCTGTCACAAATGCGCATTGCGGGGGATGTAGTTACATCGTTTGCTTCATCATGCCTCTTTCTGCTGGTCGCCCTAGACTCTCCCACGCAGCCCTGCCACTTGCATTCCTGTGTGCTCGAAAGCGAACAACCGTGATTTGATCAATGGGGGAAAGCTCGTGCGGTGCGTGACCAAGACATGCTTCTGTTTGGATTGCCTGATTTGTGTCCCAGCCCTGCTGCTCTCTTCTCGCCTCGGAATTGGCTGCAATGCCACAGCGATTCATGCCTGAGACCCTCGTCAAGCAGGAACCAAACCCTGTTGATCAGACGGCTGACAACGGGGGAGGTGTTCTGGATGACACACCTCTCTGTGTAATCGAGAATGGGAGATGCAAGAACACGACTGTGCAGCACTTCCCGCATCACTGGCTCACGCTCGCCTGTTTCTTCCTGCAGCCATGCAGCCACCCAGTCGGGCAGCTGCCAGTTTGTCCTTGCAGTCCTAGCGAAATGAGCCGTCGGAATCGGTGAAGAGAAAGCCGAACCAGCTGTGGCCTGCAGTGAAGCTTGAACCGTGGAAGCCAGGGTACTACAAGGGCACTACAATACAGCTTTCTGCAAGGATAGTATAGGGTAACCACAAGATAGGGGCGCTATCGCTGGAAGCCTTTGCGAAGCTCCGTGCCTCTCCAGTCACATTCCCAATGATGGGCGCAAGACCCCAGTAGCCAGGATCGAAACCCCAATCTGGAAGAAGCACTCGATCGAGGATGGTGCCTGCGGCTCCAACACACAACTACACAACCCTAACCCCTAAACCCCCAAACCCCTAAACCCCTAAACCCTAAACCCTTAATCCCCAAACCCTAAACCCCTCATCCCTAAACCCCTAAACCCCAAACCCCCAAACCCGAAACCCTGAACCCTGCAAAGCTGTGCCTCGAGGCCCACCTTCGACGTCTGACCGGACCCTGGCGGCTGGGCTTCAGTGGGTTTAGGGTTTCGGGTTTAGGGTCTAGGGGTTTAGGGGGTTCGGGTCTCGGGTTTAGGGGTTTGGGGGTTTAGGGTACAGGGTTTAGGGTCTAGGGTCTAGGGTCTTTGAAGTCATCCCTGGCCTCGGAATGCGAAGAAAAAGAGGCAGCCGGGCATCCACCTATCAGAACAGGACACTGTGGAATGACAGAAAAGGAAAGGGTGATATGAACAGGGAAGGAAAGGGCAATATGGACAGAAAAGGAAAGGGTAATCGTGACGATTAGTACAAAGTCTTATCAGAACAGCAAGAAGAGAGCATCTATGGGATTCTGAGCACGTCTGGGGCAGCCTCTCGAGGAGGCAACAGGGCATCCTCGCCTCAGAGCCGCCGCGCGGTCAGGTGCTTTGCATAGGGGCCTAAAGACTCGCAGAAGGCCTAGGGCTCCCTGCCGAAGATCCAATGCCAGGCTCGTTCAAGCACTTCGCCCTAACGAGGTGCAGTCGATGTGCTTCCCCAGGCTGGCGGCTCCGAAATAACGGTAAGGCGATTGCCCACAGGCCGTAGTCAGAGATGGGCATGTGACCGTTCCTAGCATCAACAACCATCATCGTCATCATAATCACAGCTTGGTCCAGCCTTTCTGCACGCTGCTCGTAAACCCTCTTTGCCGGAAGCCTCCGTGATGATTCTTGAAAGTAGAGGGAGGATTGACTCCGAGCGGATTCTGCGCACTACGACGCCTGCAGGTCCAATCAAGTCCCTCCACAGCTGTTCCGTTCACCTGATCTTTAGGGTTTAGGGTTTGCAACACGACTCATGCACTCAATGCCACAAAAGCACCCTGCTCGTGGAAAGGCTAAGGTCGCTGCGCTGAGGCGGTCGTGCAGGGAGCGCCACACTGCGCCTGGGAGGTCTCTCTACTTATGTTACCGACCTACCCCTCAGCAGTTCGCATGACTACCCATCTGCCAGCTCTGCCAGGTCGGCAATCAAATGCTGGTGGGAAGTGCATGACAAGCCACTCCAAAAGGAGTCGGGCACTCGAGCAATGCGGTGCCGCGCCACGACGAACTGCGTGCAACAGTACGTGGACAGGTCGAACCTCGGATTTGACATGGGGGGGCTCCTTATTATACTAAGGAGCCCCAAAAAGGAACCCTATTCTAGTTATTAGGTCCCTCTCCTTACTATACTAAGGAGCCCCAAAAAGGAACCCTATTCTAGTTATTAAGGTCCCTAGATTCAGCTCCCGGCTGAGACTGGGTTTAATGAGCTTGGTGTCTGGGAGTCTGTGGTACACAAGCGCCTTCAGCTTTACGGATGATTTTCTCTTCCGGCGCATCCCCACTCGCAAGTAGTAGCTCAGTCTCCAGCGGAAGATCGGTCATCTTAGCCAGCTGTGAGCCGTGCTCCTCACACCAGCAAGAAGCCCCAAGTCGCCTTTCAGAGCACCCTGCGATCCCCATTCCCAACCAGTTGGAGCTGGTATGCGCCATGCGTGCTGAGCATTTTCCGATCAAGAATCATTGTCGAGGAATAAGGGCCCTAGCCCTCACTGTGGAACCGAAAGATCGTTAGTCAATCACACTTCGTTTCCTCTCACTGGTGTAACCAGGGTGGGTAGGCGACGATGCTTTGCATGTCAAGCCTTATGGCAAACCACCTCAGACTTGAGGTTCAGCTGTACAGTTACGGCGGCGGGTCTGCCCTTGCTGGTGTCGGGCATACGGCGACCTAGCATCGCAGGCATCACCTCACTCAGCAGTTCCTGCCGTGATACAAGAGCTGAACGGTTCTCAGAAGCTTTGAGGATCACCACGTAGGTCTGTACTCAGCTGGGGTCTAAACGCCTGCATCCCTTTCAGAGCAAGCACGAGATCCCAATGCGCAAAAATTCAAATCCCACATCAAAAGTAATGCTCATCCACTGGACAGGCTAGAAAGCGAATTTGGACTTTTTCTGAGCATTCCTCCAGGCCGTTGCATGATTTGGCTCGGCCTCGACCCTCCCTCTTCTCGCTTTGGGCAGAGTCCGTGTCGCAGGTGTCGAGGATGGTTTCTCTAAGACGAACGGTGCAACTGGCCGCGGTGAAGGACTCTGTTAGTCCTCGGGGCCTGCCAGTCGGGCTCTCTTCGAAAACTCGGATACTGGGCTGATCCGCCAGGTCCTCCGAGGAAGGAAGGCCTTTCGAACTTCGACCCATCATCGCGGCCAGAAAAGAAGGGTAGTCAATGACCCCGTTGCCCTTGAAGTCCACTTCACGAACCCACTCTTCTGCTTCCTCCTTGGAAATACAGCTTTGGGCACCTCCCTCGCAGAGCTGACTGTTGAAGACTTGCACGAGGGTGTCTGCTGTGATGCAACCTTTACCCTCGATGTCGAAGGCATCGAACGCCTCACGAACTTTGTCCTGATGAAGCTTAACTCTGGTGGCCAGTAAGGCTGCCACAAAAGGTGTATATTGGATCTCATCATTTTGTGTAAAGTCGACCGCTTGAAAGATCCGATTCACCTCGGCCGATGAGACATCGAGGCGAGCCTGCATGGCGTCCCTTAGCTGCTCCAGCGTGACGGTCCCACGTCCAGTCTGATCGAAGTCGAGGAAGGTCTGCTCCAAACCCTCCAACTCAGTCGAAGTCAGGCTGTAAGCCAGGATGGTCAAAGTGGCTCTCCGAAGGTGAGAAGTTTGCGCAAAGGTCCTTAGGCTCTGCAGAACAGATACACCGATGACAGGCGAAGGTGTGCAGCCACCACCCTTCAGCCAGGGATGCTCAAGAGCGGCAGAAGCAGACATCCTTTTTCCAACATCTCTTTGAAGTAACCTCATCACAAAGTCCTGCGCATGGGAGGACAGGAATTCCCATCGCCCTTCTTTGGGAAAGTCTCCCTCTAAGATGGCTCGGGCAATCCGTGCGTTGTTGGCTCCGCGAAAGGGCGGTCGGCCGATGAGAAGCATGTAGCAGATTACGCCGCAGCTCCACAAATCGCACTTTTTGGTGTAGTTCCGGCTTAGGACCTCCGGACTTGTGTAGTGCAGCGTCCCGCATGGCATCTCCATCTTCGTGTCCTCCTGAATGATCTCGGAGAAGCCGAAGTCAATAAGCTTGATCCGATCTTGATCTTGACATGTCGGAGCTCCATACATCCAATTTTCCAGTTTGAGGTCTCGGTGGACAATGTTGTGGCTGTGCCTTGTTTAAATGTAGCGGCATAAGAGAAGAAGCTACGCTACACAAGACCTGGCGCCTTATCCTGCTCCGGGTTTGGCAGACAAGACCTAGGGGTAACCTAGCGGGGAAGGTTTGGGCCGTGCCAAGGCGCAGGTAATTGATAGCTTGGAGCATCTGTCGCATTACATCCGCAGCATCCTCCTCGCAATAGACCTTCCGCTCACACAGCTTGCTGTACAGCTCACAGCTGCAGATTTCCATAACAAGCCAAACGTACCGACGACCCTCGTAGGCATGCAGTAATCGACAGATGTTTGGATGATCCAGTCGCAGGTATACCTCGACTTCACTCTTCAACATCTTCAGCCGATGCTCCTTCAAGCGGCGCTTGCGAAATTGCTTCACGGCGACCTGCCGCTTTGAGGACCTGTGCTCTGCCAAACATACCGCCCCAGAATAGCCAGTTCCAAGCACCTGGGGCAGGATCTCGAAATCGCGGGTGATCTCCGCATGTACAATCCGATTTACAGGCAGTGATGCCTTCAGCAGAGGATCCTGGTTCGGCACGATGCTTTCCCTGGATCTATATGCCAAGGCCTTGAGGCCACCCTGTCCCATGCATGCACAGCAACTGTCTACTACTCATCCAGTAGGCAACGCATCACTTGAGCCGAAGATGAAGAGGCGAGCTTTCATTCTCACAGTCCCTGCCAGGCAGAAGCTCAAAAAAAGACTCGGCTTACACTGAAGCCTCCCCTTCAGCTTCTGCGTCCTGATGATCAGCATGCCAAGCTTCCAATGCGGGCCTGGCCCAGGTTTGGCATGTGCGCACACAGACACACACACCCACACACACACACACACACACACACACACACACGCACACACACACACATCACAAACCACTGAACGGCTAGAAAAGCCACTGTGCTATGCATGCCATCGACTCAAAGCGCAAGGAACACCCTAAACCCTAAACCCTAGACCGAAACCCTAAACCCTAAACCCTAAATCCCCAAACCCCTGAACCCGAAAACGAACCTCGCGCCTGATGAGCTCCTGAAGGCAAGGCTCCACCGCAATCCGAGGCAGGCGCTTGATGTTCAAGTGGACAAAGGGTACCTCCATTAGGGGTTTTAGGGTGGTTTACGGGTTTTTGGGGTTTTAAGGGGTTTAGGGGGTTTAGGAGGGCTTGAGGGGTTTTAGGGATGCTATAGGAGGTTTTAGGTGGTTCAGGGGTTAATATGACCAGGAGAGACTGATAAGACTCCTGTAACTCAATGACGGCGCACTGCATAGGTGCCCTGAGCCATAGACCTGGCCAACATACGGCTCTAAGACCACAGGATTGCGCAGTTCTCAGCAAAACTTCTCTCCCTGGCCTCAGGACATCGTCGAGCATCTTCTCGTTCGTGTGATCGAAGGGGTAGCCATGGAGAAAGATCACCTTCGCATCCGGCGATCATCTGCTGACTTCAATTGGCCTTTGCCCCCATGTCTGGCTTGTGCAGCTGAGGGCAGAGCGAAGTCTGAGTCCCTCCACTTCGGAGACATGCAGTAGTGCCTTGGTAGCACGTATGGATTCCCCTAACAGTAGCAACC